CGGCCCCCGGAAGCCGCGCACACCAGAGGCCATTCTCGGGCGGGGCTCGGGTCGGGGCAGCTCCTTCCAGAGCGTTCTTCACCGAGCGCGCTCCACTTCTCGCAAAGTGCCCACTCGCAAACGTCCGAAAAAAAACACGTGTCTGGTTCGCTGTAATTCATCGTAGATCCCCGACGGCGGATCCAGGCCATTTGCGAGTGATTACTTTGCGAGTAGTGGAACGCGCTGGTCTAGTTCTGGGACCGCCTCAGAGCGTTCCGCTCTGAGAAGGCCCCGGCGCCCGCTACATCCTCCAGAACCGCCGGATCTCAGAGATCCCCGATGTACCCCGCTCTGGTTGTTCCGATCCTAGCTTCGCCTTACGCTCCAGCCTGGGGCCGCTTTTTGCCGTGCAGCCGGTTTGGGCTTTCGTTGCCCGGGAGCCAGCCACGGCAGCGTTGCGTCGATGATTTTCAGGTTGGCCATCGTTGCACCATCTGCGTTGTATTAAAGAGCTTCTGTGGACCAGCACACGTTGCCGCTAACACGCTCTCCAGGGCCACCACGAGGGTGCGAAGTTCGTTGTGGTTCGCGCTTCGCAGTCTGGGCGATTTCAGAGCGAGGCGCGAGACATCGAGTGTATGGGAGAAGTCAGTCGCGGTTCGCGCTTCGCGGCCTGAGCGATCTCAGAGCGAGACGCGAGTCATCGGGGTTGCCCCGGCGCGGCGCGAGTCATCGAGTGTCTGGGAGATCGCTGCCGGAGGAGGAGGAGGAGGAGGAGGAGGAGGAGGAGGAAGTGGGAGGAGGAGAAAGTGGGAGGAGGAGGAGGAGGAGGAGGAGGGAGGAGGCGGAGGCGGAGGAGGAGAAGGAGGAGGCAGGAGGAAAAGGCGAGAGGAGGAGGAGGAGGCGGAGGAGGAGGAGGAGGAGGAGCAGGAGGAGGAGGAGGAGGAGGATCATCGAGTTTGGCCGCGCCGTCCTCCTCCAGGCGTGCCGCGCCCGCACTTTGCCTGCAGGCCCGAGCGCCCCCCAGGCACACCGCGGGCGCACCGCGCCTCGCCCCCGCGCGCTGCTCGCCCCCTGCCAGCAGCGCTCCTCCTCCACCGCCTCCTCCTCCTCCATCTCCTCCTCCTCCTCCTAATCCACCTCCTCCTCCTCCTCCTCCTCCCTCCTCATCCTCCACCTCATCCTCATCCTCATCCTCATCCACATCCTCACCCTCATCCTCTCCTCCACCTCCTCCACCGCCTCTTCCCTCCTCCTTCTCCTCCTCCTTCTTCCCTCCTTCCACTACCTCCTCCTCCTCCTCCTCCTCCCTCCTCCTCCTCCTCCTCCCTCCGCCTCGTCTCCTCCTCCTACTACCCCTCTCCTCCTCCTCCTCGTCGTCCTCCTCCTCCTCCTCCCTCCTCTCCTTCCCTCCTCCTCCTTCTCCCTCCTCCTCCGCCTCCGCTCCTCCTCGTCCTCCTCCTCTCCTCGTCCTCCTCCTCCTCCTCCACCTCCTCCTTCTCCTCCTCTCCGCGTTCTCACTGGTTTTCCTCACGTTCTCCTCCACCACCGCCTCCTCCTCCTGCCCTCCCTCCTCCTCCGCCTCCTCCTCCTCCTCCTCCTCCTCCTCCACCTCCTCCTTCTCCTCCTCCTATGCCGCTGGACGGCATCGAGGGGCTATGGATTGTGTGTGGCGCCAAGCCTTTAGGTCGGAAGCTGGCGTCAGGCGAGGTGTTTGCTCAGCCACTGTTCTGTGGGACATGTATAAGTACTATGAGCTGATCGACCTCGAGGCCTTGGAGCTTAGAGGCCGCAGGCATCAGTTTCCCCTGGGTGTCCTGCACATGTGTCTGGCGGCGTACAAGTCGGCTCGATATATCTGCCTCTCTGGTTTCATCTCTGGCCCCCTTGTTTTCACCGACGACATGGGGCGAGAGCTCTCCTGTACGCAACTCTCGCCAGCTCTTTTCAAGGTTCTGCTGCGCCAGGCTGTGCTGCGCCAGCTCGAGAGAGCGGCCTACGGCAAGCTGGTGGACGGCGATCTCTTTTGTGGCGTCGGAGTTCCTCCGCCAGAGCCTGTCCAAGGCCTAGATGAGCCTGCAGCCATGGAGTTGGCCCCCGATCGGAAACCCCCCGACCTTGATGGATCGAATCGCCTGTGTTTCGATGTCGTCACGGCTGGTCTCCGCTCGAAAAAACTCTCGGCCTGGGAAAAAGGCTCCGTGCGTGCCTTAACTTGCAACGCCTTGTGGACCAACTCCCGTGCACTAAGGTATGGCTACCAAGTGTGCCCTCTGCGCCCGCTTTGTCATGCTAAGGTGGACTCTGTCTTTCACAGATTATGGGAGTGTGAAGTGTGCAAGGAGGAACGGGACGAGCTAGTAGTGGATGAGGAAGTAATCTCTTGGGCCAGGGACGCTTGCGACCAGAACCCAGGGGACCTCGTGAACTTCTTGACGGGTGCCGTTGCGCATCCTGGTGACTATGTGCCGCAACCAGTCAGTCAGCAGGACTCGGACGCTGCTTTCAATATAAGATTCGTGAATTGTCCAGGGCTGGCTGGGCTTTCGTGCGTATGTCTGATCAGGGCCACCTTCTGGCCAGAGTCTTTGGGCCTGTCTTCTCTCACTTGCCGCAGTCGTCTCAGGCTGGTGAGTTCTCGGCACTGGCTGCTGCTGGTGTCAATTTAGACGGGCCTGCGACACTTTCCTCTGATTGTGCGTCGGTTGTCTCCTTGTGCTCCAGGGCGCCTCGGGACCGCCTGGGGGGGCAAAGGGCCTACGCGGGCTCGGTCCTGGAAGCCTTCGCGGGTGCGGGTCCCCTCCTCCAGGGCCTGGCCAAAGTCGCCGCGCACAAAGCTGTAGATGAAGAAGGAATTTCTGTTCAGGAGGCTTGGCGGAGGACGGGTAATTTTCATGCTGACCTCGCTGCGAAGCGGGGTGCGAATGTCCATCCCCAAGCCAACCCCGATGTTCTGTCTCGCGCCGAGCGCGAGATTAAGATCTCCAAGGCTGTCATCCTCTTGGCAGCCAAGATCCTGCCGCGCTGGCCGCGGCTTGACTTATCTGGCGTGCAATTCATCAAGCCTCAGGTTCAATCCGCTCAGACGTCGAAGACGCCGCATGAGTGGTGCTGGACTGGGGAGTTCTGGCAGTGTGGCACGTGCCTGAGGGGCAAGCGAGGCCAGGCGCGTCCTGCGCCTGGCCACTGCGTCGTGCCTCCGCGTCTGTGCCCGAGCCTCCTGGAACAGTTCAACCATCTTTGTGGGTTGTTGGACTGCACGGACGGCTCTTTCCTCTGTATCTGCCGTCGATGCGGCTTTTACAGCACAGGCGGCCGCTTCAAGAAGCTGGGTGAACCCTGCACCTGTAAGAAGTCAGGGGCAGGACTTACGGCCTGGAACTATGTTACCCAGGGCCGACACCCACAGCAGATCAAGAGGGAGAAGAACGTACAGTTTTTGCCCTCTCCCTGGATTGTGCTGTGAGGAGAGGTGGTCCCCACTGGATGGGGGTCAAGCAGAGGTCGAGCGTGAAAAAATCCTTCTCCTCCTCCTCCTCCTCCTCCTACTCCTCCTTCTCCTCCTCATCCTCCTTCTCCTCCTCCTCCTGCTCCTCCCCCCGTAGCCATTTTGGCTCAAGCTGCCGCTTTGGGTCAACCTCCCGGGTCGACCCCCGCGGCCGCTTGGCAGGCGACCTCCCCAGGTTGACTGCCCCGCTCGCGCCGCCGCGGCCATGTCTGGCGCGGCTGTCGGCGCTGCCTCGTCTGGTGGTGCTCGCCGCCGTCGCGAGCAGAAACAGCGCTCCACTGCCCGCAACGTGCAATGGCTGCTGTCGCTGCGCCAGGCCGGCGCCGCGCATCACACCTCCGCTCCAGGTAGTGTTGGGGCCTAGGAGGTCTGCGAGTTGCGACGCGAGCTCAGCGTGATGAAACAGGAAATTGCAGAGCTCCGCATGCTGCTCGCGTCAGCTGGTCACTTGAACTTCTCGGCAGCTGTTCACGGTCTCGGTGAAGATCCTGAGCCCCATGATGTCTCTGGCGTTCCTGGCTATTCCCGTGCAGATCGCGAAAGCCGAGGCCCAAGTGATGGGCCCTCCTCCGAGGTCGGTAAGGACAAGGGCAAGGTCATCGGGAACAGCAAGGGCAAGGCCAAGGAGGCCTTTGGTGCGCCCCCCGGCAACCCTCCTGCTTCTCCTGTTGCTGCTGATGCTGCACCCACTCCTCGTGCTTCTGGAGCTGTTCACGGCAGTGGAGTTGCTCCCTTTGCAGACGCTGCCGGCCAGGCGGGACATGCGCCGTTTCCTGGAGCTCTTCCTGGCGATGATGCCGCCCCCTCTGCCAGTCGGGACGCCTGGGCAGATGGCCATGACTCGCGGGCCCAGGTGCGAGCCCCTGCTGCTCGCCATGTGTCTCGTGAAGAACGTTTTGCTCGATTCAGTACGGGAGCGCCTCCTGCCAAGAGCAAGGACAATGAGAAGGATGTGAGGGCCAAGCGTTTTGCTCCCGTTTAGCCTTCCCCTCCCTTCCTGCCTCATTATGTATCCCTCCCTTCCCCCTGCCTCTTCCCCCGGAGTTGTCTGCTCGATTATGGGGTGGCGGAGGCTTGGAGGAACGAGGAGGCGGAGGAGGATATTGTTTCTTGTTGTTTTAACGACTGTGCTATATCGTGCGCAGTTCATTGATTCCTCGTGGCCAGCGGTGGCAACCAATGGAACTGGTTTGTAGCCTACCGCTTGTTTGCCCCTGGTTTGCACTGCGTGGGACTCATCGCGGTTGTTCTCTCTAGGTCGGGTCCTCTGGCATGTTGTTTGGAGGGCCGCCCTGTGCCGTTTAGCGGTGCAGGGTCGGCTCCCCATCCTTCGTTGCTGGATGGCTCAGCCTTGCTCCCGACGTGTCCAATCCAATCCTCCTGCTCCTCCTCCTCCACCTCCTCCTCCTTTTCCGCCTTCTCCTCCACCTCCTCCTCCTAATCCTCCTACTCCTCCTCCTCCTCCTCCTCCTCCTCCTCCTCCTCCTCCTCCTCCTCCTCCGCCTCCTCC